TTTGAGTAAGATCGTAAACACCGTCCCGTAGGCCAACGCGCGCGGAACTCTAGCTCGGCAAACTAATGTCCGTCAGGCCCTCTCACATCCTCTCGGCATACATCTCGGGCAACTCACCGGTACCCTGGGAGCAGGAATCGACAGTCTGAACCCACCTCAAGACGTGGGCGGTCGAGTCGAACAGCCTCTTCCCACTGTTAGCGGCGGGCGCGAGCTTGCGCTGGACTCCCTTCGTCGCGAGGAGAGAGGAAAAACAGCATAGGGGTTCAGAGCTGGTTTTGCTATCGGCACGGAGGATCTCGACGGGCTGCTCGGGACAAGTATCCAGGACCACGGCATGGGGGATCGGGTCGAGGTGCTGGGGGTCATGCCCTGTGCTGCGGGTCGCGGGTCTGCTGCTGGCAGGGGAGAAAAGGGACGCAATATTAAGATGGAGTGGTGGATCGTGCGGCCTGACATGGTGGAAAGCCTCTAGGAGAGGACATTCGATTAAAGCAAGTTTGAAAAACAATCCCTTGCAAGATACAATTCATCTTAAATCGTGGCTATTTATGGTTTGCTTCGGAATGGGAAATACTTGCAAATGTTGTGCAAGTCACACTACAACCACCAGCGAACAAGGTTTATATCGAACTCATGTAATTATATTATCTGCGGCTGCTTATTACCAAAGCCTGTCTTCATTTGGGTATAGCGTAGGACCTGAAAACTTCATGACAAGAGACAAAGGGAATTATTTTCATTTCTCAGCGGGTGAACAAAGGAGACTCCTGGCCGGCGTGGCCAAGAGGAACAGTCTGAGAGTTGGGGTTCTGGCTGGTCAGGCCATCGCTGGTGAGGCTCTGGCCGCCGATGATGCCCTGGCCAGTAAGGCCCTGTCCGCCGAGTGCCTGGGCAGAGATACCCTGGCCGGCAAGGGCAGAGCCGCTGAGGGCTTGACCTCCATAGCCCTGACCGTCAAGACCCTGGCCTTGTGTGCCGTAGGTCTGACCGCCGAGACCCTGACCCGTGGCGTAGGTCTGGTTGTTGGCGTAACCCTGGCTGCCGTCGGCCTGTCGGTTGGAGTATCCCTGATCCGAAGTAGGCTGGGCGCCCGTCTTGGGAGAGCTCATGGGGCCATGGGACTTGCGCTGAATCTTAGGAGCGACGGGGATGTCATTCGACTTGCTAGCCTTGCCAATGGAGAAGACAGGGCTCTCCCAGCGATCTCCCTTGCGAGCGAGCTCCTTGTATTCGGTGGCCTTGGTGCTGATGCCTCCAGGAAGGTTGATGTTGGGGAAGATGCTGTCCTCCTTGGTCATGGCGACGTTGACCTTCTTGTCCTGAACAATGTCCTTTGCCTTCTGCTTCTGCTGCAGGGCGCGCTTCTGGGCGGCCGTGTAGTAGCGGTTGTAGATGTTGGGCGTGCGCTCGGGATCGGAGCGAGCCTCGTCAAGGGCACGGTCAGCCTCCTGCTTGATCTGGTAGAGCAGCTGGTCAAGCTGGTTGGCCTGATCCTTGAGGCTCTTCTCAACAGCCTTCTGCAGGGCGGGTTTGATGACCTTCATCATGATGGGTTTGAAGAGGTTGAAGAGAAGCTTGTGGTTGGACTGCTTCAGCTTGATGCTCATATTCTTGATGTCGACATCGACCTTCTCGATCTTGAAGAAGTTTTGGCGATCAGACTTGTCGGCCGTGGCGCACTTGGCCTTGAAGGAGAAACCGTCGCCAGCAAGAATGAAGTCGGCAACACCGGTGTCGGTGATCGAGGGGAATCCCTGCTTGCGAGCAATGTGGTAGCTCACATCACGGAGATCCATCTGAATACCGGAAACCTTGATGTCGAACACTTGCTTGTTCTTGTTGGCAATCTTCTTGCGGCTCCAGCGGAAGTGGTGCTCAGTGTTAATCTTCATGACGTTGGGCATGAAGTTGTCCGACTCGAGAACCAGGTTCTCGATGACGGCATCGAACTGAGGGTCGGAGTACTCGATGCGTGGGACGGGGATGTAGGCCGCATTCTCAAAGATAGCGGGAACGATGACCTCTGTAAGGTCCTTGTCGAGGTGGGGCTTGAAGGTGGGCTTGCCGTTCTCATCGTTGCCGAGGTCCTGGAACAGTTTCTGAATGGACTGACCGAAGGCCTGTTTTGAGGGTCATTTCAACCTCATTGATGATGAAG